ATCAGTTTATTAAAGAATATGCTTATGTTCTTTGTATGAATCTATGAAAGCCCATATATATATATATAGGGTATATTTCTTTTACAACCTTGTGCATTTGTACAACCTTTGCAACCCAATTAATTGAGATATTTATAGAAATGATTGGAGTTCATTTATTATGATTTGAATATTTATGGAATATGAATAGAGTTTATTAATTATGATTAATACTTTATATTATGAAACAATTAATTGATTAAAAATTGAATGGTTGAGATGATGGTTGTATAGGGTGTAGGAATGACAAAGGATGTAGAATAACATCCATATATATATATATATATATATATATATATATATCAACCAAAAGTGACCAACCATAGAGGATTTTATCTTCATATCTAGTCTCATTTTTTGCCTAAGTAGCATTTGTCATTTGTTTCTTTTTCAAATCATATAACATGTAACATGAGTGATAGGTGACTTTGACAAGTCCGACATGTTTTGTAGTAGTTCTAATTATTCATTTTGAATATTGCATATCCCCCCACCCCACCCCACCCCACCCCACCTAGCTAAGTTTTGGCTTTTTCCAATAATAGAGACAGTAAATCATCATAGTAATTTAACAACTCCTATTGCATCGTTGATGATAAATGTGTAACTTATGTCGTTATCTTACACCGTATCGTTTTCACTTAAAACTCTTATTTCAGATAAACTCAAGTGCATCCTCTAGCCTGCTATATTGCATGATCATGTATACTTCTTCACATTGTTACTGCAGAATCACACACCCATATATAAGAATAATGTGTATACGATTCTTATTGCACAACGTACAAGTCACTAAGATTGGTAAAGATTGAGGTTTAAGTTGATCCAACACACATGTTTTGGTAGACCATGGTTGATCATCTTTGCTGTTGGCATTATCGATGTGGTCCCTGATTACAAAGTACTCAGATTTCCACATACATATATGTCTCTCCTTTGTACTTCTTTTGTTCTACTGCCTTCATCCACATAAACTCTTCTTGACTCCGCTCTTTCAATTATATATTTAAAGCTTTGCCACAAGGTACGTAGGACCCTTTTCCATGGAAGCTTGTTAGTTGAAACCATTGCATATTCCAAAACATGTAAGAGATGCCCATGTGAACTTCATTGTCTCAAACAAATCCAAGATCTTGATAGAATAAAGTTATGGTTGGCTTGTTCATCTGTCCAAGTACAGTCATGCATACGTCCTATAATGAACAAAATGGAAACACGAGACTTACCATATTCATAACATAATGGTAAATCAATGGTACTCCAGAGAAAACAACTTTAAGCAGCCTGTCTCTATTTCTGTTCTTTCTGGTTCTTGATTTCGGTGTCAAGAAGCGGATAATATATAATCATGATTCTGCAACCATCCTGATTAGATCCCGAACGAGCATATATGACACCATTAACACGACTTTCTATAAGTCAGGGAATCCGAACACATATACACATAAAAAGCACAGGAAATTGTAAAAACACAATGCTTCTTGAGAACAGTTCATGTGCATTTCCACTTTGTTCATATGAAATCTTTGTTTGATGGGGTCCTTGATTTTGATATAAATTAGTCGTGTCTTTTTCAAGAGAGATATGAGTAGATTTTTAAATCAAGAAGCTTTTTCAACAAATGTATCATTGAATTATGATAGCATTGTCTCCCCTACACTTGAGGAAGTTGCTTAATAGGGGTCCATTTTTATTTATTTATGAAAGCTTAGAAAAGGGAACTTCAATCTAGTCTTCTTCTTGAGATTAAACTCTAATTTTATATTAATTTTTAAATAAATTAGGTTTTGATTTTTGAAAATCAATTAAAAATGAGTTTTATTCGTTTAATTTTAATAGTAATAAAAGTTATTTTATTTAACAAGATATAACATGAAAAGGGTTTCATCACTTTACTGATAATACCTCATACATTGAAAATCGTAAATACGTTTTGTGTTTTTTCTTATCAACGCAGTTGAATAAATATCAGGAAAAACGTCAGTTACAAAAGACATGTTCGATAATATTTCAACACGCATATATACGTTAAAATAGAAAAATGAATCAAAAGTAACATCTTGACGTAAAAAACTACTTATTTACCATCATGATATACTTAAAATCATGAAATTGTCTTGTAATATACGTTTATTGATGTCACATAAATCTTTTATTTGTGTATATTACCCGATAGTACTGGTTGTCGTTATTGAATTTTTTTAATATTTTATTTTATTTTTATGAATAACTAATAACACCATCAAAAGTGGGCTGGATGAGGTGACTTTATCCAAATACAAGATAGGTCTTGGGTTCGATCTCAAGCTCTCCTGCAAGCTTCGGCCATTGAGTGAGCTAAAAAATATCTCTTTATATTGACATCCATTGAAGCAAGTTCCATGTGGTACGATTTAGAGTTGTCGGTAATCAACTTTTTTTCTCCAAATAACATCATATAAAAAAGTAACACCCGTATGTATATAAAAACAATTACTGGGCTTCCATGAGCAACATAAAAGCCCATCAAAATATAGCCCAGAAAAGTGGGCCTTTAATTTTGGGCCACGGCCCAAAACGGTTACGGTGTGTCCAGATCCAATTAGGCATTTGTTCAACAGTTCAACCTACGGGCTATGGCGGGTGGAATTGCAGAAAAGACCTTCATGTTTATGTTAAGTTACATAAAGGACCCTCACACAAACATTGTTAAAAACCTTCGTTATTGTTGTGAGGTCTATTCCGTAATGTGTTTTATATAAGATTTTGTATGTTCGATTGTTATATAGATTTTTTAATTTATGTTAAATAATAAAAAGATAGTGAAAATTTTATAAGAAATTAATTAAAACTGTTTGAAATTTTAATCTGATAACAGTTATACTTAAAATTGAATTAAATTGTTCTATGCATATACTTATAATGTATATGTTTTAAATTAGAAGGAAACAAATAGTACACAATGTCAGAGATCGAGGGTTCCTTGATCAAAACAGATTGGGTAAATTGATTGGATCGCATTTATGTTTTCTATACAAGCACTAATTTGACCTTTTATTGTTCTGGGTGTCTCGAACTGAATATTGGTATATCCAATGACCCTTTGATGTTAAAGGGCATAATATTTGAGTTATATATATATATATATATATATATATATATATATATATACCCACATTCAACGGTTTACACGTTTATATAAAAGAGATTGACAGCTACATGGTAGTTAACTGCACAACGTATGAAGTAACTGTTCGTGGATAAGATCAAAGATGAATCATAAGGTATATAGAATATAAGGTTTTGAAGTAAACTCGAAACTTCTAAGTTTCTATTTAACCATCGCTAGAGGCACTGCCCCTTGAATCCAGTTAGAGGCACTGTCCCTCGAAACGACCTTATGGCAATCTAAACGCATTACCACTAGTTGTGTTAAAGTAGAAGAATTTGAAGTTTTAAGATTTCTTTTTTTGCTTCAAGAGCTATGCTAAATGATACGTTAAAATAGAAAAAAGAAGAGAAGTAAGGTGAAAATCTCCAAATTTGGAGAAATCTCTAAAAATTTAGGAAAAAGAGAAAAATAATATGTTAATTCCTTTAACTAATATTTTATTAATATAGTCAATATTAGAATTAGTAAAACAGATCAATGTAAACCTTTTTCAGTAAAAAAATTACATCATAGTTATTAAAGACAATCTAAGATGATAAAAGTAACGTTTGTGAACTGTGGGTCAGGATCGAACTCTCCATGAGATTCATAGTTGCATTACTTATAGCTTCCTTGTTTGTAGACAAAGTAGATTCGGAACTGTCTTTCATTCCAAGGCCTAACGTGTACCCATGCGCGTCATATTCACCCGAGTAGGGCTTTTCACATGCTTGAAATAAGACATTTTTTTAGGCATTAAATAGGCTAAGAGAAAAGTCTCATTTTTTGCACTCTGCACCTCCTCACCTCCCTACTCAATGCTATATTTGCCTTATCACATAGGGGCTGTTTTGCAGTTGCTGAATGGTTTTGTGCAGAATCATTAAGCGGTCAGAATGATTAAGAGACTCTCATGATATAGTGCAAAATGAAATATAATTGTTTGGTAATTGCTTACAATGAAACTAGGGCTCTTAATGGTTAAGGGATGCCTAAGATACAAAATCATTCAGAGGATTTTAGAACCATTAAGAGACAGATTTTTTTTTGTTAAACAATATTTATCTATTAACGATTCAAAGATTGCCTCTTAATTGAACTATTAAAAGATAACCAAACAACCCCATAGTCTATTTAGGGTGCGTTTGGTATGCAGACTACATGGGACGGGACGGGACAAAAAAAAAATAGCCCCATGTTTGGCAGGCCATGGACAAAAATTACATGGGACAAGATGAAACTATTTTTAAATTTGATGAGACAAAAGTTGATAATTTTTGTTCCACCAAAAAAGGTGGAACAACATAGGACTAAATATAAATTTACTACCTTACCCTTAAACCCAATAGAAAACCTAAACCCCCCTTTGCCCTCATCTATTTCACACCCACACCAGCCACAGACCTCTTCCACCACGAGAGCTCTTCCACATCGTGAGGTCCGATCCACGCCGTCTCCTTCCACCTGCTTCTTCCATATCGGTATCGATTTCATTATTGCGATTTTGCTGTATCGATTTCTTTATTGCGATTTTGTTGTATCTCTTTTATTATTTCTCTTTTGTTGGCATCAAAACCCACAAATCATAAGTCATAATTACACCAAAACTTTCAATGACATCAAAATCACCAACAACACATAACTGTTATTAATCACTTGCTAACAGTTACATTTAAAAATGGAATTGAATCTCTTTTTGTAAATAATATTTTTGTTATGATCCTTTTATGAAAGTTGGTCAAACCTCAGGGATCTTATTGCAATTTTTATTTGTTGATAGTCGGTGGACTAAAGCCTACGCACACCCCTTCGAGGTCGAACGTATTCGAGTCACTCCCCTCTCGTTTAAAGGGCGCTTCGTGGTTCTGCTACTCGTTGAAACTGCTCTCTGCCGTACAGATTATTCGACTATGGAAAGCTTTATGATCGCTCTGTGATGTTTTCTGCAGAACTGGAAGCCAATTCTCGAGGTATTTAGCTTTAATTTTTAACTTACATGGCCTGCGATATCAGAAATGTAAGCAATCGAGGTCGGACAATCTTCTAAACCCTTTATTTATGATCATTCAGGTTTAGAAATACTTAAATTAGTTAAATTCATGCTTTAGTGTTATAACATGTGAAAAATCTAGGTCCTATAGGATGCAATTTGTGCTTATGTTGCTGTTACATGGAAATTATCGAATGCTAGGTGTTAATTAGGGATCCAATTTACGTTTCTGAAATTGCTAGAAGTGATCGTTACTACAATGTATAATATTCATTAAGGTCGTCTGGTGATCAGCTTGTGTCAAAATTTTATAATTAGGGGCAAGGTATATTGAAATTATTTTCGGATGTCCTGTTTTTAATCATGAAGCAAAAGTATATTGGCAGTATCTCTTTCAAAATTTGATTTTGCTGTACCGTGTACTACCTGCTTCCCAAAAACAATGCAAACTCTGCAACCAGTTTAATAGAAGTCGTTACTAATGATCAATTACCTAAAATACCATATGGACCACTATCAATATCACCAATTTCTTACCATGATTGTAGAATAAATATCTATTGAACAGGAAACAAAGATGAACACAGCAAGCTTATTCGAAAGCCAAATCAGGACTTATATTCAAATCAAAAACAACTACCGGCTTTTATAGTCATTACAGAGAGAGAAAGCTACAAATAAAAAGCCTAAAAATCTAGAACAAACAAAGAAGAAATCAAAGCCTATCTAAGTAGAAGTGGTCCTCCAGAAAAGCTGAAGAATCGGTCTTTATTGTTCAAAGCATAGAAGACTTGTACTTTGCTGAACCATCTACACAGCACAAAGTTCAACAACGATTGATAAAAATTTAAAAGTAAATTTGAAATGGGATATTTCTGAAAAAAGAAGTGCCACAATTTTCTGTGATAACTCAAAATAGCAAGTGCTTTTTTTGGGATCGCATGGAGTATTCTCGATGTTGATTGTTGAGCAATGGCATAATATTTTTTAACTGTTAATTGATATGAAATGTTGGACACCTAACTTTTGTGTAAATTGACGTATATCAGGTAGTTGATGATGAAAGAAAGGACCACTGCCTCCCCACTAAAACGGATTCTGATGAACTGTGGAGCTCAGGTTTGTTGTTAAACTGTATGCGTAGGAGTTCCATTTTTTGTCTAGTGTCTTCAAGGTGTGGATCCATGAGCGAATGCCAAAAATGCATACCTGCTATTGTTTCTATTCGTGTGCCAAGATTATGATTGAGGTAGGTAGAGATATTGAAGAAACTACTCATAGGGGTATGAATCAAAGATAATGTGTGATCTTAAAATTCCTAGGGAAGGTTAGGGTGACAAGGCACAGGAATTACAGGGAATTGTCATTATCGCCATGGACTCTCATGTATATCATATATAACATTGGCACAGGTGACTGCTAGGTTGATTGAAGTGGACCCACATGAAAGGTAGCATACAATGACCCAATAGAGTAGTGTATGAGAGAACTTGCCCTTAGATTAAAATATGAAGAAAAACTATTCTATTAGCAATATATTCTTGGTTAAGCCCTCTCTCTCATGTACTTCTACAACATCCGTATCAATCATTTTTAAACCTCCACCACCTCATTTGGAACACAGATTGTGCCGAGTTTGGTTGAGCAGGTTAATGAGAAACCGATCGAGTGAGTAATAATGTATTGTTATTCTACATTTCTACTTGACTTTTGGTTGAAGCGAAATGGCGAAAAACACAATAAAACAAATTAAAGGCTTAGCCGCCTGACTCAAGGAAGTGAGTCTCAGACCATATGTAGTTCTTGGTCATTTTTATACTTTTCCTGATCCACACACTGACTTTAGTTCCATGGGCCCCGTAGGGAAGGAGTACATGGTCATTCCTGGATTCTCGATTAGATGTCAGGCATTACATTTTGTGTTTGCAGCTAGCTAGTTGTAACATATATATATATATATATGTGTGTGTGTGTGTGTGTGTATAGATGAAGAGAAGCTTTATCACTAGTTTGAATGATGATATAAACTTGTGAGAGGTCGAGTTGTTCAGCCTTCATGTCCACAATCCTGGCTCATGTTTGTTCGGTTTTGATTAGTTCATTCAATGGAAATAGGGACATTTTATAAAATTAGTTTTGAGTAAATCTTCTATTGGTTTTTAATGAAGTTCGGATGAAGAGTATGTCAACTTCATTATCATGTTATGTCAATGTATTTACTATATAAAAAATTGCAGGCAAAAGAATATGGGAGTTGTGTTGCAGCAAAGGTTCCTCAAATTGAACGTGATATGTGTTTGAAAGAATTTCTTACATTAAAGAATTGCATGCAGAATGTGGTATTTATTGCTTAATATTATTTTCTGAATTCGAGGAAAAAAACTTCTTTATACATGTTTTTTCCTTTCTCTAACTAATACTTCAACCAAATTGCTTATCTTTTTCCTGCAGCTCAAAGGGAAGCATTAGATTTACAGATTTGCCTCCTCGTATATATTGGAGCCACATATATCTTGGTACATTCAGAAAAAGGTTAATAATCAAAGCTTAGAGATCTTGTGAATGTTTTTCAATAGTTTACTCTTGCATTACTTACTACCCCATCAAACTAATAGTCTAATACTCATTCTTGTTTTTTTTTCTTCAGTGTTATTTCTCCGGAGAAGGACTCCCTGTGATTATCAACTTCAAACCTCAAACTTGAAACACAAGACTGATTTAAATGTTTGGGAATACATCAAGTTCTCAACCCACAGTCGGATTTGGTGGATCTGGTGCTCTGTCACATACGTACATCCAGTATCCACCCTTAAGATGCAGAAATGATGGGTCAAGAGGTTTATTTTATGATGACGGAAATAAACTATTAATCTCGCCGACCTCTGATAAGGTATATACTGATGCGACCATGCAAGTTCTTTTACTTATTTATTTGGTTGTTTCACCTTGGAGGGGTATGCTTGAGTCCTGCCGAAAATCTCACACTTAGTCGGAAGCGCAGTTGATCGCTGTGGAAGATGCATATGCACCATATTTCAACTCATCTGTTCCACCATGTTTTAATTAGTTCTTTAGCTAAATTTTGTACAGGTTTAATTTTTTAGTTTGTTTTAATGTATTAGGTTGTTTCTTGGAAAACTTCTCCCTTTACTCCTGATGTTGCTCCAACTACTGATACAATAAGCGAGGGGCCAGTACTGTCTGTCCGCTATTCTTTAAATGCAAAGCTTATAGCTGTCCAACGATCAAATCATGAGGTCCAGTTTTGGGTCAGAGAAACTGGAGAGACTTTTAGTCAGAAGTGCAGGTCTGAGTCCGATAGCATATTGGGCTTCTTTTGGACAGATTGTGCAGTTTGTGATATTGTATTTGTCAAGACCAGGTAATTCCTAAGAAATATATATATATATATATATATATATATCAAGTGAATGAGTATTAAAAAAAGAAGTTTCTATGTCCATGTATTTAATGGTTAAATGCCGTCCCCTCCTGCATATTCATAAGCACGGTAATCAGAAGGTAATCAGAAGGTAATCTGAATGTAGCGATTTCTAGGACTAATCTGGATCCACCATCTCATCCTTAGTTTCTTTTCTGCAAGTCTGCAACTCTAGTATTTACCAAATAGTTATCTTCAATGTATTTAGCCATCGTCAGGTTGCTGAATTATTTAGTGTTGCAAGAAACATTTTTACTATGAACTATTCTACTCTGCCTCCTAACAGATTTTCTTATTCTGTTATTGTAGACGATTTTTGTTGTTGCTTGCTTCATATATCTCTTAGTTCAAAGGCCACTAACGTATTTATATGAGTAAATGATCTCGAACATATTTTTGTTGATTATGCAACAGTATTTTTGCCATGCAATGTTGGATAGTCCCATATAATTGGTAAAATTGTTCTAAAGGAATATCAATTTGCAGTCAATACAAAGATATCCTTAAGACATCTCTCTAGGTTACATGCACCCATGCCCGCACACTCTCATCTTTCAGGCAGACACCTAAGAGCTAATCATTTTCTATTGTTTTGGCCCGGTGATACCCGGGTTACTAGTAGAGCCCAGCCTCCCAGAAGGTCAAGGGTTCGAACCTCACCAAAGAGTGTGTGTGAGTATTTGCTGTATATAATATTATGAACTTTAGAAAAACTAGAATTTCATTAATGGAGGAAGCCAACAATCTTGTATGATCATGTGTATGCTACCAGTGACCCACAATTCTGTTCTAGTGGTAATCATGGTTCTAAAAGGTGCGCCATGGCATGAGGCACATCTCCAACACCTTGTTAACAGTTGTGTAAGACAAGGCGGGCACCATGGCGTCTTGAACATGTTTTTGACCGAGCTTTTTTTAATACTTTATTTGACTTCTAAACTTTTTATATTTTGCCTTTTTTTGTTTTTATGGGCTCTTGAGTGAAAGTAGAAAACATATAGGTGTATATATACATGATATACGGACTTGCTGTCTTAAGTCACGCATTGAAAAAACGTTGTGGCCTTGATGTGGCTCTTTAGGCTTGATCTTGCCGCCACCCACGCCTCACGCCATATAGAACCTTGGTAGTAATCATATGTGGAAATATCATATCCAACTTGCCTCCGTTTCATCCAATGTGATATCCAGACCATATGTATTTGGGAAACCCACCTTCCTGACTATGCCAATATGCATCAAATCTGCTAGCATATTGGCTTAAATTATCTTTAACATGTCACAAAGAAAGGAAGTGGGTAGTCCGGTGCAATTGGTCGTCTGCTAGAATCTCTTGCTTATACAGATGTGAAACTCTGCTATCGACGATGACCACAAGGCTTTTATCCCAAAGTAGTTTAGGAAGGTAGATGTGAAGAAAAGAACTTCATTGCAGGCATGATTAATGCTTCCATGGAGATGTTAGAAGTCTTAAGTAGGAAAAAGTTAACAAAACAAACTATGGGAATAATTCATTACCAATATACCAAGTATGAAAGCACAAAAATCTTTAGATTTACTATTAACAATAAGTTTTGCAGAAGAATAAAAGATAAGCTGATCAAATATAATAAAGTAATATAATAGAAAGGTACCATTAGTGAGTTATTGGCCATGAAACATGCAAATATACATATGTTTTGGTCAAGTTCTTACTTCAAATATCATAGAGGCATCAGTGTACGTAGAGGTGATGACACAATTGTGTACTTCCTGTCCTAAAAACTGTACTACATTCATATGCAGATAGTACGGACTAAGCAGGGGATTCTAATAAAAATTAGTACAGTAAACTAGTTGTGATTCTTCAGAGGAACAAAAGTGATTCTAATTTGGGAAGGAAAGTGTTAAAAGAATATACGGATGGAAGCTGAGTGAAACCAGCTGCTAGAAGCCATTAGAGATTCAACGAAGACAACTGAGGACGGGAAGGTGGTTATATGGGATGCATGAGAGTTGGATTAGTTACTATAAAAAAATTGTGGGTTCTTGTTTTTTTAGTATTTGACCCTAATGAGGTACAATCACAATCACAAATATGAAAAATGATGTATGTTGCTCTCTGAGTACTACCCATCACAAGGAGAAATGTTACTGTGCAGCTCAAAGCCTATGGTCCAGAAAATTCTAAAATCATTGAAATGAAGTTAAAAGTTTTTCAGACTCTATTGCTAAGCAAAAGAAGCCTTTTCCTGTTGTCAGAATATGTTTGGGATCAGCCATCACAGGGCTGATAATTTGATTGGCCCATGAATTAAATAAACGTGAGCTTTTGAGTTTATGCATACTGTGCCTTCACCCCTCTTAATAATCTTAATTTTTATGATTGTTTTGCTTCATCTGTTAAGATCTGCTTACTTCTCAAGCTAATAATTCAATTGGACTGATTAGAGTTGAATTACAGTGGGCTGGACCTCTACACTTACATGCCAGAGCTAAAATCACTTGATTTGGTTGAGACAAAGAAAATGAATGTGAGTTGGTACATCTACACACATGAAAGCCGCTTAATAGTTATTGCTTCAGGAATGCAATGCAAAAGCTTTACTGGATATCAGGTAGAAATAAAACCACTTGCTTTTAAGATGTTCTATAGTTATTTGATTATATGCTTTTTTTCCCATTTCACTTATGTTAGAATCAATCAAAAAGTTATGGAACTTCCCTACTTCATTGGGTAGCTGTTCACCATAGTGAATCATGCGAATTGGATGAATGCCAAAATTCGATAAATAGCAATTCGGTTTTGCAATGTTGATCTGATATACGTGTTGGACAGAAACAATGTAATTGCTAATGCTAGATTGTAAAAATCCTAATCATTTTGCTATTTTTCTTTTTGTGCAGCTTTCTTCTGCGGGCATAATTCGATTGCCAAGGTTTGAGATGGCAATGGCAAAGTCTGATGTTAATAGCAAGCCTGTTCTTGCTGCTGAAGATGTTCATATTGTCACTGTGTAAGCTTTAGATATATATATATATATATATTTATCCGTCTTTCAAACTCTTAAAGGTTCAGCTTTATCCAACATTTTAATCCCAATTGCTCTGGTGGAATCACAGTTATGGAAGGATATACTGCTTACAAGTAGATAGAGTTGCAATGCTACTGCATTCATATAGATTTTATCGTGATGCTGTTATCCAGCAGGTAAATTTTATATATATATATATATATATGTACAAAGTTAAGATAATAAATTTAATCATCTTCATGGCATCTGGTGAATTAGGCGTCTTTTCAACTTACTTACTTCAACATGCTACACACCTCATAAAAAGGGGAAAAATAATAGAACTTATGCTTGCTTGCTTCTAATTTAGAGCTCAGGTCAGGTTGGTCTTTATGATGTTCCATTCACAAATCAGTGTGTTCTGCAATTAACTTTTGTAGATTTTGCATTACATTATAGTGAATTTTTTATGCTTGACCGTGTTCCCCTTGCTCAGCTAGTTCTGAATCTTATTCTGTATCTTTTATAATTGATTACTTTCACCATAATACTCACTAGTTTGTTACCTTTTTCTTTGTTAGGGTTCTCTACCTGTTTATTCCAGCAAGATAGCAGTAAGTGTGGTTGACAATGTTCTGCTCGTCCATCAAGTGGATGCAAAGGTTGTCATATTATATGATATATTTGCAGATTCACGAACACCTGTATCTGCTCCACTTCCTCTTTTAATAAGGGGCTTGCCACGCACCGGTATTCCATCCTCTCAAACAAGTAGGAAGGATGCAGAAAGTTCAGAGACAACACTGTTTAATGATCCGTCGTCTCATTTGTATAGCGATGACTGGAATTTTCTTGTTCCCTGCCTTGTATGTGATGTTTCCACTGGTTTTTTGTGGAAGATTGATTTGGATTTGGAGGCAAGTTCTAATGGCTGATCTGTTATGATCCCTGTGATGGCAGTTTGTAGTTCTGTACTAATCTTGCTTTTATTTTATCCTTGTATGATTACAGGCAATTTCTGCAAGTAGCTCAGAAGTTCCATCAGTCCTTGAGTTTTTGCAGCGGAGGAAGTTGGAAGCAAAAAAGGTGAGTCTATCAGTGTTCACAAACTAGGAGTGCCTCTAAGGGGGTGTCTGGTTTGTTTTCCATTAGTCCAGTATCGATAAATATGTGTGTGTGCATTAATTTGTCTGTATAGATTGGAAAGGTTTTTGTTTGGAAGGGTTTTTTTCGTAAATGGAATGAGCATGTCTTTTAGTTGGGAGAGACAGGTTTGAAAAAAACTTGGCTTTCTGCATAAAGCTCCACCCTAGAAGCTTACTGAATAAGCCCCTTTCAGTATCGTTAAGTCACTACCAAACAATCATATATAGCTGAGCGAATAAGCTGTGAGTCCCATTAAGCTGCTAACAAACAGGCTCTAAGTTGGATGAAATAGATGTTGATCTAATGTTTTTCATGCTTAAATGCTCCTTTTTTATAATTTCCATTGTAGGAGACAAAAGCAAGTTCTATAACTATTTTCTTTCTTATCAATTTCAGGCTAAACAGTTGTGTTTGGAACTAGCTCGCTCTCTCATCATTGAGCGAAGACCTCTCCCTATGGTTTTCCGGGCAATAGAGGTATTGGTGAACTCTTTCTCGTATTCACTTAAAACGGGCAGTTACTTGAAGGGTGGGAAGTCAGAGAAACCCGCAGTTCCTGGTGTATCTGAGAACAGTGTCAGTACAGGCACCAGTGACAATATTAGTAGTGCAGATGCATCTGGTAAATCTGTCAAAACTGGACCTGCAAGCGGAGTTGACCGTAGAACTATACACAATTCTAGCTTCTTAACTTCAGACTCCGAGGATAATGCTAATTTCAAGAAGGCGAAGGCCAAATTTCTTGATACTAATTCTTCTAGTGGGAATATAGACGGAGAAACTTCAGTGGGTGCTGATGCATCTAGAATTGAAGATCATTCAATGGCTTCAGAACCTCAGCTACATGATAACCAACCACTGAATGCTAATGTCTCTGAACAGCAAGACTCCCAAGTTACTTCAGCAGCCATTCCACCAGATGAGCTGTATAACTTTGTATTTGCTTCTGTGGAGGAAGAGATGATTGCAGATGCTTCTTACTTGTTTGCCATCATTGTCGAGTTCATAAGGAGGTAATCAGTTCTTAGCTTAATGAGTTAGCAATTTCATATATATCATGTCGAAGGTAGTTAAGAAGTAATTCTTTTTTTTTTTAATAGAATTCACATCTTGGGCCAAAGCAACCTAAAATTGATAGCATGACATGTGGGCCGTGGCATATATTCATCAGGAATATGAACGTGTTATTCATCATGAATGTGTTATTCACGATGAATATTCATCCTCGAGAAGGACACGTGGCACTGTCGGGGGTTCCTGGTTTCCTAATCAATTTTGGGTTTCTAATGGAACTTCCACTTCCCTCTGTACATCTTTTATTTGGATCTGTTGTTTATGTTTCCTCCAAATATTAGATGCGCCTTCTCACATCTCTACTTTTGCAGCGCCAACTTGGAGAAAATAAAACTGCATCCAAATATCTATCTGATGGCAGTGCGGCTGCTTGGTCGAAACGAGAGATATGCTGAACTTGGAGAGTTTATTCTGAATAAGGTATGGCAAATTTAGAGCTGGGACTGTCTATTTTATGCCCTACCTCACTATCGCTAGTTTATACTTGCATTGTGTACACTTCAGGCACTTGGTGTTTACATTTTGTGTGGTTGTAGTTGCAATTTATTAGTCCTCAGACAACCAATTAATCTCTAACTTTTACTCCCTCCATCCCTTTAAAAATTGCCACACCCAACTTGGCATACACTTTCAGGAAACCGTAAAAATGTTGGACAAAATAAATGAATCTTGAAGGACCGAAAGCTGTTAGCATCAATTTAAATAGGTTAGTTTAGCATGAAAGCTTTTGAGAAAATGAAATGTGGCAAGAAAAATTGGATGGGTGTCCTGAGCTATGCTCGAACTAATACCAACAAATTGCGATTGTAAGACATCAACCTGATAAACTCAGTAGCCACAATTGTTGTGGACATCTAGAATTGAACCCAGGGCAGATGGGATATTCAACCACTTCCCCTGGGCCTCAACCACTACGCCACAATCCTCGTAAGGAGTAATATTTTGTTACAAGTGTGAGGTGGTTGGATTTCAGATAATTGAGCCCTCGAAAGAGGTTGCACTTCAACTGCTAGAGACCGGGCGTCAGAATGTCCAAACGAGAAAGTTGGGCCTGGATATGCTGAGACAACTCCAGCTTCATCACGACTATGTGGTGTTGCTTGTACAAGATGGATGTTATCTTGAAGCCTTACGTTATGCACGCAAGAATAAGGTGATATTTTCTGTTTCTTCGATCGATCCAAAATCCTGTACTGTAGTTCAATACAACCCCTTTGACTCAAATTCGTATGATTTTTAAAAGTTTTTAAGAGGATTTCTTAATGTTCGTGAATCAGGTTAATAGTCTGCGGCCGTCCCTGTTCTTAGAAGCAGCATATGCATCAAATGACCCACAACAATTAGCTGCAGTTCTAAGATTCTTCCGTGATTTCATACCGGGGTTCAGAACCACTTCAGAACATAGTACGTACATCCGTGCTCTTGCCGATATGCATTCGTCAATTGCTGTGTGAGGTCTGTTTGCTTTTCGAATTTCCGAAATGAAGATTAAAAACCTGCAACTCTTTTTATAAAAATGGCAACTCTTGTAGACGAGTTGCACATAATTTGTCTGTGGTTCATGTTGTCAATTTTAAAAGTAAAATGAATAAAACTAGGCAATGGAAAATGTATCAAACTTGAGTTTAATTTTTCACTTTGCGTTGTCTGGTGGTGACTCGGGTTCGTTGTTGAAAGTTGGGTGTGGTGTGGTCAACCGGTTCCGGTTTTGTAAAGGGTGGTCAACCGGTCCTGGCTAGGTTTCTTAATAAAAGTTTTACAATATAAAATAGAAACAAAAAGAGTGTTTTTTAAATCCCCTTTTTTTATTGTTTTATAAATTAATATTTATATCATTATTATTATTATCAATCGTATTCTTAATAATCTCCAATCAGATTTGTCCAACAATCCATTTAATCACTAAAAATTTGTTTGTTAGCAGCTTAATAAGTGAAATGACTCACTATCATTCAGTTATATATCACTATTTGTTAATGATTTAATGATATGGAAAAAACTTTTTTTAGGGAAAGTTTATGTAGAAAGTAAGTTTTTCAAACTAGTTTTTTTCAATTAAAAAACATGTTTTTTTCATTCTATGAAAAACTTTCAAAGAAAAAAAATTCCAATTTATATAGAACTTAATGAAACAACAGAATAACCGCGGATCTTTAACTTAATAGACAATCAGTCTAAACATAATAGAATTGCAAATTGATGTAATCATCCAAGCAAATTACTAGAATAAATGATAAAATTAATGAACGATGTTAAATATGCTAAGATCAAACACTTCTTATTTTGGAAAAAGTAGAAAAACTCGGTGAACTATCTTTATCTCAATGATTAAAGTTTCTAAAAAGATTTAGAATAAATAAATCATTGAATTTTTCTGTTTTGCATTATTAAGTTCCTGAATTAAATCATTGAACTTCTAAAAATTGGTTACATGCATTATTTTAACAAAAAAAAAATCTTGTAATAACCAAGAAGGTTTTTAAGTATTAAAAAGTTTTCCTTGTTTTTTATCTGATCTTTTTGTTCTTTGTTTCCGAATCTTACCTCCTACATCCAACAGCATTGTCAAAGAATATTTGTAGACCTATCAGATTGAGTCTCAACTTAGCCTGATATCGACAATGGAACTAGAAGTTAACTTGACATGTTTATAATAACGTATCTAAACATCACGACTCCTAAGGCAAGTGTTCTTAGGTCTACCTCAAAAGACAACAAAGACCCATAACCGAGTCAACTGTCAATGAACATAAAATAAAGATTATCGTTGATGTTGTAAAATAGTCCGTATAAGAACGATGGTGACGACGTTTTCTACATAATTGATGGCTCAACTCAAATAATCTATTTGATGTGGTGACGGTGATCGGGTCATGTAGTTTTAACCTTTTTTAATTATGTTTATTATATTGTACTGTAATCAAACAACTACTTAATTCCATGTATATGTTAATGTGGTTGTTTTGAAGTATATAATATTTATATACGGTAAATAGAACAAATAAACTCACATACACTTCTCATTTTTGGTGAGGTTTGAACTAGAGTTGTTCATGAGCAGGACAACTCGTTGACCCGGCCCATCCGGTCTGCTAGAAATACGGGTTTGGACAACCATTATCGAGAAAATTGGTGGGTTTGGGTTTGTTTGTTAAAATTAACTGGCGGACATGGACAATGTAAAAATATAAATGGACAGGCTCGTCCAGACTATTTATGTTTTATAATTAATATTTTTTTTACCATTAATTAAATTTTACTAATATATTTTAAAATTAAATTATTAAAGTTATAGAATGAGAGTTGGGACTCTTTGGTTTTCTTAAGAACCCAAAAGGCTCTACTCACCTTTATTACCATCTTCATGTCAAAAATTCTAATCGAAACAATGGAAAGAATCACTAGTTGCTTAAAGTTTTAATTGCAACCGTATTTTTTCTTCACTTTTTAGTTTCACATTTGTTAATTAAGAATTACACTTTTTAGGTCTCTTAGCTCATGGGCAAGCCCGACCCATTTATAGGGAACGCAATGACAAGTTGGCAAACCCGAAAAAAAGGACCTGGATTTACAATATTAGCCCGTTGGACAAAAAAACAAGTTAAACTCGGCCCAGACCCCAAATGATCACCTCTAGTTTGAACCATTGACCTCCTAAGAGGCCAATGACTCACATACCACTAGGCTAAAGACCTTTTAGCATATGTTAATGTGTTTGTTGATACAACTAATTCTTAATTAAAATTCAACTACAGTCATCTACCTTTTTTGGTCAACCGTTTTGAGAAAACTGGTATGTTTTAAAATGATTTCATATTAGGTCTCTTTCTTTAACTCTTTTTTTTAAGTTTTAAATACAAAAAAGGGTATTAACTTAGGGTCCATATGTTTTTCAAAAGCAATATAGGACACGAGTTGACTATTTAAATCATGATTACTTTTGACGAATAAGATAATTTATTTTGATTTTGTATCATGTGTCTCTTTTAACCATTCAGCGTTCTAATTTCGTTGTAAATAGTTACCAAATAATTATATATATTTTTTGTATTATATCATGAGAGCATCTTAATCATTCTGATCACTTAATTATTTTGCACCAAATCATTCAACAACTGTCAAACGACTTAGAGTTTAAGTATAAGAAAGTGACATTTAATTTGTTTGTCACATTATTGTAGGCATAAAGGGGTTGTCCACCTAACTTTATAATTTAACTCACTTGGAATTGTGTCACATGGTTGTTGACTCCAAAGCTCATGAGTGTATGAAGATCTCATGTTCAAATCCAAAGAAGAATAAAAATCCTCTTGTGGCTACGAGGTTCAAATGCGGTGACTTCGCGGATGGTCATCCTGGTATTAGTCAGTTCGCATAACGGGTTGGATATACATGTTAAACAAGAAAATTGCAGTTCATCTTTCAAAAAAGTGTTATATAATTTTAGACATATTGGTGCTACTAGGCATGATAATTGCTAGGGGGATGAAGGCAGGATCCCAATCCTCCATCTCTATTTCCGTCTTAGTTTCCACAGGGAGATATGATCATATCCTTATTTATGCCTTCAATGAGAAATTTGGGATTTTTTTTCGTTTATGTGAGATATTTTAAATCATATGTGTTAAACACTACATTCTATCCAAATGTTCTACGTTTAAATATCATATGTTTCCAATATTTTGTTTTTATAGAGTTTTAAATATTCATGTGAAAAAAATCACAATATCATTCGTAAATTGTTTAATTAAACCCTTCTGGTTCTTGTTTTTTTTTAATCAAAAAAAAGTAAGACAGGTAAAAAATATATGTATATAAAATGAAATATCAAAATATTCTTTTTTAAATCTAAATTTAATTTCGTATAAATAATATATTTAATAATAGATGTATATATTATATTTAAAATATGAGGCGTATAGGATTTCGTATATTATTTTCCATGGCGGTTGTCAACCAGCCCTTTATCATGGCGTCAACTCGCATCCATGGCATAAAGTCATTGGATCCCTTCTCTGGTTTCTTGATGGTTCCATCAACGAACTCTATCTTGTTTTTAGCAAACAGAAAGTTCGTCATCTCTTGGCTCCAATCGGCGAAGTTGTTGTCGGTAAGAACTTCATTCACGTGTAGTTGTTTTGGGTAGTCAGATGGATGAAGGTAATAGGGTGAATCATATGCAATTCCTTCGCTGGAACTTCCTCCATCTTTGGTTTTGTTTTGACTGTCATCTCCTGCCATCCTTCGAGATTAGGAGCTAGGTTTGTGAAACCTGCTCTGATACCATGAAGAATTCAAGAGGGATGAACAGAATTGGTTTTTTATTATACTGCATCAAGGATTACAAGGAATAAATAGAAAAAGGAATGGAAAGCAATAACGGACATTCCTTAAAAGAATCCTTTAAAAAGGAGAGGATTGAAAGCAGCAAAATAAAAGGAAATAATAGGAAACAAAATAATATACGAAATCCTATAATAGAAGCAAAATCACATTGAACAGGGCTCCCAAGTGCTTCACAACCAAACTGATGAGCCAAATAGTCCCCATGAGACCTTCGATGGGCAAGAAGTGGGTCAAATAGACGATGAAAGTGAGCCCGACAGTGACAAACTAAACGAGGAAATAGAAGTTCAGCCCGAGACGAGGCCCACTCGAACAAGAACACAACCAACAAAATTTCAAGACTTCATGGTACAAGTTCCCCCTTCGCTCAGGCACCCGGAATCCACGTCCAATCAAGCCGCCTCTACGGTATGCCACCCAATCTCTAATTTTGTTTCCTATGATAACTTCTCCACTAATCACAAAGCCTTTCTCTCGGCCATCAACAATAACGATGAGCCCAAGTTTTTCAAACAAGCCGCTCAAGAAGCTCATTGGCGTGAAGCCATGCAAAAGRAAATTAAAGCACTGGAGGAGAATGGAACTTGGACCTTGGAAGATTTGCGTAAAGGAAAGTGAGCCATAGACTCCAAGTGGGTCTATAAAATCAAATACAAACCAAGCGGTGAAATTGAGAGGTAYAAGGCACGTTTAGTCGCAAAGGGTTTCACTCAAATGGAAGGGGTGGATTATCATGATACATTCGCACCGGTCGCTAAATTAGTTAYGGTTCGCACTCTACTAGCGGTGGCAGCAAAAAGGGATTGGATTATTCACCAACTCGACGTAAACAACGCTTTTTTGCATGGCGACCTAGAGGAAGAAGTTTACATGAAAATTCCTCAAGGTTTCTCCAAAGATGATGAGACTCGAGTTTGCMGCTTAAGAAAATCCCTATATGRGTTAAAACAAGCTTCRCGCAATTGGTACCACAAGTTCACTACGTTTCTCTTAAGCCTGAGTTTCAAGCAGTCCAAGGCCGATCACTCTTTATTCATTTATGAAACCACTGATATAACGGTGGTCGCCCTAATCTATGTGGACGACGTCATCATCACCGGGAATTGCCTTGATAAAATTCAAGAAATCAAGAAGCAGCTTGACAAGGAATTTAGTGTCAAAGACCTTGGCCCATTAAAATACATTCTTGGAATAGAGGTGGCCAAAACTAACGATGGTTTGGTCCTTAGCCAACGAAAGTATACATTRGACATCTTAAAGGATTGCGGGAAATTGGGTTGCAAGCCGAG